TGATCAAAACATTCTGCCATTTCAATTGTTCTTCACTGTAAGTTTTCCAAAATTATTCTTAAACTTAATTTTTTGGTAATAGGCATTTTTTGTAGCTCATAATAAACTATCCTGGGGAAAAAGTGAATGAGCCCTAGCTGGTGTGGCTCAGTGGATTGAGTGCTGGCCTGCAAACCTATTCCTAGTGGTTCTGTTCCTAGTGGTTCTATTCTTAGTGGTTCTATTCCTAGTGTAGAACACATGCCTGGGTTCCAGTCCAGGTCCCCAGCAGGGTATGCACAAGATGCAACCACACATTGATTTTTTTTCTCTCCCTCCCTTTCTCCCTCCTTTCCCCCCTCTAAAAGTAAATAAATAAAATTTTTAAAAAAGAAGTAAAACATTTAAAAAAATTTTATAAAAAAAGAAAAAAGTGAATGAAATAAAAACCTGGTTAATATTAAATGATTCTATTAACATTACTTTCTTTTTAGTCATTGCTAAATTACCAAAACCATTGCTGTATATTTTTTATTAAGTTTCATTCTAAAAGAGAAGTCTTAGTTATCTAGAAAATAGTACACTTAAAAAAAAAGGTTTTACTTGGAATGCTAAGTATTTTGCCCATATCATCTGGAATTTCCAAGACAATGATAATTTATTACAATTTTATCCTGAAAACCAAAGATAATTTCAACTTATTTAAATATAATTTGGTTTTTATGTATGTTTACTAATTTTTCCACCTTGCCAAATTAAGAAAAATATGCCCTTTACTAGATCAAAATCCAGATTATTTATTTTTGGTTCAAAAATCATGGCCACTAGATTTATACAATGGTTGAAATTACTGCAAAAAATGGTTATTATACGATAATGATGTTAACATTGAGTTCAAAACTGTGGAGTAAAGGTATTCCCTTGAATAAGACTACTAGTTAATCTCTAATCTGCATTTCCAAAAATAGACCTAACTGGTATGCATGAGTGAAAAGATTAGTGAATATAAACACACTGTGTTTTCAAAGAAGTAATTTACTAAAGTATCAGACAAGCCCATGGGCACAAGATTAAATTACACAAGTTTTTTCAGGATTTGACCTACAATGTCCATGAGCTCCTGATTATTTAACCAGTCAGGATAAAAGAAAAGATATAGCAGTAAATGAGATCAAAGACAAGAAGTATATAGTACCAAAGAAAAATCCCAATGAAAAGGATGATGCATTCTTAATATATTTGTATCTTTCCAATAAACTAATGAGGCTTAGAGTTCCTTTGCCTAACTAGTTAGTCTAATCAATGGTAAGAAAGGTAATAACATGCAAGGTCTATTTAGGACTGCACCTAATTTTGTGAGTCTACACTGACTTACACATCTTTCAATTGCTATACCATGGCTGCTGGTAGTCACACTAAGATTTGCTCCTTTACATCTGGAATTTACCAATAAATCTGTATTTTATTGAGATTTATCTTTGATTTATTATTGAGATAAAAATAGATAAAAGAGAGAAAAAGCCCTCAATTTTGATTTGTTCCATAATAAAACTGAATGTTGGTGGCATATTGTTTTCTGGACTTGATTGCTTAAGATTTATTAATGTAACATCCCTGTGTATTAGGAAATTTTTCTTGATATAATCAATTAGCCATCCTACAGTTTATATTTGTTCTTCTACCTATTGGGTCAAGTTATATATTTGTAAAGTATCATTTTTATTATATTTAACTGGCCTTCCCTTCTTCCCCATTGGAACTAGAGTGCTGGGAAAAAGTTGAGATTCTGTCAATTATTAACTGCATAGCAAAACCAACCCTAACTAGTTTCCGCATCCATAAAATAAATATAATACTTTTCCCAGCTCCCAGCTTACAAGATAGTTGTAAGGATCTAATTATAGAATCCTTGTGGCTCTCACAGAGCTACTGGCCCACAGTAAACCCTTAAGAAAATTTAGCTGTTGTTTTGACCCAGACTACCTCGGCAATATTATCTTTCAGTTTATCTTATTTTCCTAAAATATTTATGTGAGCCAAGTTAATCTCTTTGTTTAGGCCTCCTTTGTTACCAAAGGGTATGTACATATTAGCTAACCAAGGTAGTTGGTGAAATCAATGGCAACTTAAGGGAACACAGTTCAACAAGCTCACTCAGGGACTGAAACCCTGAATTTTGTTTCACAAGATGACTAACTCATTGAGTGCAATCAGCCCTTTCATATGTCCCCCAAATTAGTTTCTTGTAATAAAAGTTTTACCATAATTTCTATTTTGGGTCCAAAATTGGACTATATTATGGATATCAATACTTTTGCCATTGTAATTTGTGAGAAACCAAAATTTCACATCACTCTTGTGTGCTAATTCTCCAAATTCACTTAGAGAAGGAGACTGGGTCAGCTACTTCTAGAAGTAGCAATCTTTAAAAAGTCACATGTGTTTTTGGTAGCACCTGCCTTGAACCTGTGAAAGGATCTCTGGCCATAGTGTTAAAAAAACCAAGAAGGGTTCATAAAAAAATCCTGGCCTGGGGAACAGCAGCCTGTGGCCCAGGCTCTACGTTGCCTGTGGACCAGATATCACACCTCTTGAGCTGGAGCTCCATGTGGAATTTTAGGTGGGTTGAAAGGGGGTTATGCTAGCTTTTCTTGGGGGTCTTTTCCCTCTCTGGTGAGAATGAGAAGGAAGAGTTGTAGGAGGGAGTGTATCAAGTTCATTCAATCTTATTTCAGCAAATGTGATATGAACACATTTCCTTAACAGTGGTAAAGTGATATATTACTACCTTAGGTATTCCAGAAATATATCCAGTATATCATAAAACAAAGGAATTTTTTAAAACTGATAGTAAAAAGAATAGCTTTTAATTTTTTTCTTAAAGGTACAGATTTTAAGTTTATGCCAGTAGACAGAAATGATTATTTTATAAACTATACATTTTTATGTATATGTAGCTATCCAAATTAACATTAAATACCAGCCATACATATAGATACTTCCTCAAATTCTTGTTTGAGTTTTAATCTTTTGTACAATGACATATTAGAGAGATGTATCTCATTTCAGTAAACTAATAAGGTATATGTGATATGTTGTTTTTTTTCTCTTTAAATCCACTCTGCGTTTTCCTGGTACATAAATTTTACCAAAATGTCCCTTGTTCTTTGTCATTTTCCAGATAAAATGCCATCTGTAGCTTTGAATTACCTACAGAAAAAAATCCAATTTTGTCATGCACATTCGGTCTTTTCATAAATTAAATTCTACACAGCCTGGCCTCAGACTTACTTTCTACCACTCCCACTGTGAATCCCCTGTTATGGTCTGATCTGTTCCTGCATTGTTATCTTAAGGGACTCAGTTCTCTAGATTTTCTTCTCTTCTTCCAATGTGTGCTGTATATGTTACACTCATATGTTATTTATAATATATTTCATAGTATATATACTATGAAATAGTATATATTTAATATATAATCAAATCTCTAATACAAACCTATGACCTTTTCTTTGTTTCTATCCTATTAAACTCCATGGCTATTTCCTTCTGTTCTATGAAATCTTGTACTTTTCTGAAAGCAAGTTGTATTGGGGAATGTGGTAGCTTTAAAATACATTTACAAGTGATTTGATAATCCTCTCTTCAAAAGTTAAAGCCTAATTCCTTCTTCTTAAGTGTGAGCTCTTCTTAGTGACTAGTTTCTAATCAATAGACTATAGCAGAAGTGACAGCATGTGACTTAAAGATTAGAACATAAGGAGGGTTTCTCCTTGTTCTTCCTCTTTATCACCTGCTCTGGGAGAAGCCAGTTGCCAAGTCAGTAATTTACTTAGCAACCCTCTGGAGAGGTCCATATGGACAGGAACTGAAGTCAATAAGGAACTGGGACTCCCTGTCAATAGCCAGGAGAGTGAGCCGTCTTGGAAGCTGATCCTCCAGCCTCAGTTAAGATAACTGGGGCCTCAGCCAATATCTTGATAGCATCTTATGACAGATCTTGAGCCAGAGCCACCCAGCTAAGCTGCTTCCAAATTTCCAACCCACAGAAACTATGAGACAATAAATGTTTGTTGTTTTGACCCACTGTTCATGTTTCTTGTTGCCTCAAGAATGGGTTAGCATTATCTAACCAATACAAGTAAATCTGAGAATGTATAAAAATAAAATGATAATCTTTTGTCTGTTTTCCCTCTTTTTTCCTCCATTTGGCATTACTTTTATGTGAAATGAAACTAAGTTTATAAATTACATACTCTAAAGTATTGATTATCACAATCCTTGTTCTGTTACACTGGAATTGGATCTAATCAAGTAATTTAGCATAACTGCTTAAATATAAAGTCTAACAGCCTAATTCCTCCCACAGAGTCTATCATCTTGTGTTCCCCAAGCACTGGGTGCACTGTTTCCTAATATTGAAGGTCTACCTCTCTTCCTATCAGGTTAAAATTTATACCTCAATTAAAGATATTTCAGATCCAGAATCGTTGACAAAACATTTCCTGATGATCCTTGCCATTATAAAGCAATGTTTCCATTTTGTGAATTTGACACACATTTTTGACATATATTACTTTTTGTTTTTACACCTTTTTAAGTAACTATCTTATCGCTGTGCCATATATATTTTACTATCACATTTCCCATGCCTCCAGGACTCAGCAGAGCTGTTGGGCATGGTTCATTTTGTATAAAAAGGATAAGAAGTGATTCTTGAGTCAATCTTTCTTACTTGTACTATAGTTTCTAAGCAGCGAAGATCTCATGGACCTTTAATGGACTGAGAGTATCACTATTTTTTTTTACTCTATTTGTGGGAAACTCAAATTTGAAACATTTTCAAGTGATACTGTTGTTAGTACTTATAAATAAAATGATTGTTTTTAATAACTTTCCATGCTCTAGCATAAGAACTGAAAGATAAAAGCCAGAAATGGCCCTTTCCATGGAATAGTAACAGATATTAGTGGCAAAGAACAACTTTGGCTCAAAAGGCATACTAAGAGTTCATGTTACAGATCCTTTTGTAGTTCATAAGCATGATAACTGGGTGTTCATGCTCTTGTGTGACGTGTGCCTCCCTCAAAACTTTTTATGACATTGTCATATTACTCATCTGATGTGAAAAAAAAAAGTTTATGTTATATATGTTGATTATATCTCAATAAGAAAAAAATAAATAATTAAAAATTTCCAAAAATAATATGTGGATTTCAGTAATCTACACATGGTTCTGCCATGATGAATACTTGAGAACTGTAAATGGCCTTGATAAAGAAAAAAAAACATATAAACATTGCTCAGTTGAACATAATTTTATATGGTTACATTATATTTTTCTGAAAATGAGAAAAATGTTTTTACATACCACCAGGTTTCCAATGACCATGACCATCATGAAGACAGTAAGGCACATGGTTTGGCCAGCGACCTCCATGCAGTCCCACATGGTCTCTATCCACTCTCCACACAGCACGCGGAACACAATCAGGAAGGAGTGGAAGAAGTCATGCATGTGCCAGCGTGGGAGTTCACAATCGTTGGAAATCTTGCAGACACATTCTTTGTAGCTTTTACCGAAGAGCTGCATGCCGACCACGGCAAAAATGAAGACGATGATGGCCAGCACCAAGGTGAGGTTTCCCAGGGCCCCCACGGAATTGCCGATGATCTTAATCAGCATGTTCAGGGTGGGCCAGGATTTTGCCAATTTGAAAACTCGGAGCTGGAAATGAAATCAAGAAGGCTATTACTGTTCTGTCTTCTAAATCTATAAATCTATTTACATGGAAAATCTACAATGTCTTAATTGTAGTGTGATGGATTATTTTTTGTGTCATGCTATTATCTAGCATATATACCAGTGTTTTTTTTATATCATGGGGTATTAGTCATTTGGAAATAGTCTATATTATCAGTAAAATAATTATATTATACAGTTTTAATTGGCATTTAAAGAATAATGTACACCAAGTTTCTCAGAATCTTACATAAGCATATGTAATACTTTTTTTGTTTTTCTGTAAGGAACTGAGGTATTTAAGATTAATGGTAATTAATTAACTGAGGCTGTTTCAGAGAATTAGAGGCTCTTATTATTTAAAAGCCCAAAGTGGATATATTTATTCACTGTACTTGAATTATCATGCTAAAATGCAAAAGTGCAGATAAAATTAAAACAAATTACATAAGATATAAAAGAAAAAACAATTATTTTTAAAAAATCTTTAGATTGCTTTTGTCTTAATATCTTTCACTTGCTATAATATTAGGCTACATTTTAAAGATTTATTATATTTATTATGTTTATTTTGTCAAACTCTATGTCTTCCTTGATTTAATTAGTCAATAACTCATTAGAGTATATAAATGGCTCTCCACCACTGTGCTTGCCTCATTGGTTGTATTAATTCATAGAGGCCTCTAAAATACCATTTATGGTTAAACAGCAGCAGCATTTTATTTCCGATGGTTCTATAAATGTCAGTTAAGAGTAGTGCATTATATCATGGTATTTGAGTGACTCAAAGGATCAAATATAAGCACTATAAGTTTAATTTATTCCTACAGAATAATTAATGCAAAAGAGCCTGACATTCTAAGCAAGACGATAATGATATTATGCTTCTATTTCATCAAACTGTATCACATTATCATGGAAATTCACCAAATATTTTTAAAAAGCAGTTACCCATATTTACTTTTATATAATCATTCTAATTTTTGTTTTTTTTTTTGCATCCTTCAGACTTCAAATTAGATTCATAGCTTTTCATGAAGACTAGGGGAAAAAACCCACAGCTCTAAGGATCTCAACGCAGATGTGAACTTTGAAAATGGTAAGGAAATTCTAAACAGACTTCACAACAATGTCTTGAGACTAATTGTCTTTAAGAAAAATTTCCTAGCAACCTGTCTTTAGTAACTCTCTACAACCTTTGTTATTTGACAATAAATCACAAAAAGTTGGAGCTAACTCAAAGTAACAGCATAATAAAGCATATCAAACTTTAAATAGAGTTGTGTCAAATGACATTTTGTCTCTTAATTTTAAATGATACATATAAAGTATAAGGATCAAATGAAAGATCCTGTCTTTAAAATTAAAAATATAATACAGGCAGCTTTTTTTGAAGGGTGGCTTTGGTGACATACTGAGCTGGCTGAAGGAGTAGATGTGTGGAGAGCTCTGTGTGCTTCCCTTGTATAATTCTACACAGTCCTGAGTCTTGACTTCTATGTGGCAAAGTGGGCAACTCTCTACTTCCTGAGCTTCTGATAGAAAAGTGAGCTTATCCTACATTCCAGCCAAGTCTTATGCATAGTTCAGCAAACCTCGCATAACTGAGAGATGAATGTTGTGTTGTTTAATTGTGATTTGGGTTTATCTATGACTCCCCTTTTTCTCCCTCCTCATTAGCCCTACCATTTAATTACTAAGAAGAGATTGGCTGTTTATTTGTATATAGTTAATCTATCCATTTAAGCTTTGATGTAAAAGAAGAAATTACCATTTTGTTTTGGGGCAATATGGTTCTTTAAAAGAATATAGTCAAATAATATTATAACCATGTGAAATCTCATTATTGTTGCTAGAAAGGGTAAAACTTAATTAAACTCATTATACAAATAATGTTAAGAATACTCCCAGTTAGTTTACCAGTCGAAATGATCGAAGAACTGACAATCCTTCCACATTTGCCAGACCAAGCTCCATTAAACTAAGGCTCACGATTAAACCATCGAAAATATTCCAGCCTTCTTGAAAGTAGTAATATGGATCCATGGCAATTATCTTGAGAAACATTTCTGCTGTAAAGATCCCAGTGAAGACCTAAATGAGAAATGTTTATTTTATGAGTGAATAATCTTAAAAAGTAAATAATTATTGAGCAATTTAATTTACTCCCAACAAATCACAATTCTGTATTTTAAATACTGGTTTAGTTCCAGCAAATTATACCTTTGAAGGGTTTGTATTCAAATCAATATTTAATTGTTTACTATATTTAAGATTTATCAAGTGATAAAGAGTACATGAGTTAAGATAGTAAAATTAATATTCTTATTTTTACACTCTTATATGAAAGGTTTAGATAACTCATTTTGATTAACTGCTTGGCTCTGCCTCTGATCTCATTAGCCTTCCAAAAACTTACCAAGGGGACAACTTTGTCTTGTTCCTAATCTTAGTGGGAAAGTTTTTAGTTTTTGCCCGTTGAGTATGATGTTGGCTGTAGGTTTTTCATATATGGCCTTTATTATGTTGAGGTATGCCCCCTTTACTCCCACTTTGTTGAGTGTTTTTTATCATAAGTAGAAGCTGTACCTTATCAAATGCAAGGAACATGTATAAAGGATCCATGGACAATGCCAAAGTGGGGAAGGATTGAGGGTTGGAGGTGGGGGTGAGTGGGGCAGGGGAAAGTGGTGGTGGAAAAATGTATTTGAACAATAAAAAATTTTTAAAAACTCACCAAAGGTTTACTCAACAGTTAACCTCCTCCCATGGCCCCTTGGGCAAAGCTGATGCTAAGAAGGCTTCACATGGGCTGTAACAAACGTGGTCATCACCAGCCCCTCAGATGGTAAGAATGCTTAAAAGCAAGAAGTAGCACTTTCTGTTCTCCATTTTATTTCTGTACAACTAACTGTTTCAAACTTTATCTCTTCTCCACCTAACTTGAAACATTTTTCCTTATCTTCCACTCTTATCACTTCATGTCTTGGAGGTAACGGAAGTCAGCCAACCTGAACTTTTATCTTTTCCTCATATCTATCAAACTACTTATATCCATACCCATGCTTTGCTTTTTTCTTCTTAAAAATGAAAGTAGTGTCCCTGCTTTGCTCTAATTTCTCCAATTATGTAATGGGTCTCCTTTGGACCTCACAAAGAAGTTGCTTTCTCAATTAACCTGTAGTTTCAATCTCTTCCTGCTAGTGCCTACAGTCTTCTTCCACCTAAAAACTACCATCAATGTCATCAAAAAAACTCTCCACACATTCTACTTCCCCTCTTAGCTATCACCATCTAGCTTCTCCTCCCAGCGCAACTTCCTTAAAAGAATCTATTTGTCTGTATTTATTATTTCCATTTTTTCAACTTATCTGAGTGAATAGGTTGCACAACCTATCAGTCAACACAAACCGATTTAACCAGTTGTTGCTAACATAACCAACATCACCAATGCTAAATTCAATAAAAAATTTAGTAAGCATCTTCCTTTTTTCTTTAGGAGTTCTTCACATTATTTTCTGTTCCTTGTTCCTTAAAAATATTTTTTTTTGCACCAATGAACCACACCTCCCTGAATACTTTTCTTCCTCTAACAAATTATTCAATACTGAATTTCTCCAAAGGTCTCTGTCCTGGACTTTCTTACTCTAATTTTCTTTTTACATTAAGTTTAAATTTTGAGATCTATATTTCTATTCTAATATACCTCCTGAGCTCCAGAACTACACACTGCCTGCTCTTCAACACATCCATTGGATGACTATTTCACAGGTACCTCAAATTGAACGTTCCAAAATTCATTTTACCACTTTTTCTGTACAATCTTCCTTCTCTTCTATTTTCTAACCCAGTGCATGTAAATGGAATCATTCTCTACCTTGGTAGTCAACTCAGAAACCCAAGCAAGAGTCTCATTGAGTTTTCCACATATTTCTTGAATATTTCAGTTTAAAATTCACCCATGCATGTATTACTAGTTTATTGACCTTTTTATTATTGGGTAGTATTCGAATGTTTGAATAGTATATGGATATTTAAATAATATATAGCAGTTATTGTCTCTTTTCCAAGAAATCTTTGTTACCCAATTAATTTGCTAATCTTTTCATATGTTTTACATTTACATATGTTATAAACTTTTGCTTTAAAAAGTAGTCTTTAAAGAAATTAAGACACAGAAAAAAAGTATTTTTTAATTTACATTTATTAATTTCTAGAGACCATCATTCCCAGGTACAAATTTCCATCTAATATGTTTTTCCCCTTCAGCTTGAAGAACTTCCTTTAGCATTTGTGTGTGTGTGTGTGTGTGTGCACGCGCCAATTTTAAATAGTTTTACCTCAGTCATCACATTTTCCACTTTATAATACAGCGTTTATGA